TTCAGATGCCTCTATGATTTTCCCTTCTTTATATGAACTTTATATTTATATGAACTTTATACTGGTTAAAACTCAGTGAATGAAAAGGTTAGACTGCCCCCTCTCAGTCGCTTCTTGCTAACTACTTGATCTGTAACTGACAAAATTATGGCCACACACTTTCAAGAAATTCAGAATGAGATGTAAATCAGCATTTTCCCATACAGTCATGAAAAAAACATCCCATACGCTCAATCGGTAATATGGTATGCCTCCATAAAGTTTTAGTTTATAGAACTGCACTTTGCTGCTGAAATAAGAATAAAAATTGGTTATATTGTTTAGTATTACTACTACTCTCTGTGAACTGAGGCCTTTAATGTGCATGCACTGTCAGCAGAGTGCACAAGCCATCCTTGTACATTGTATTTATATGTGTATTATATGTGTAATCATATGTGAATTAAACCCATCACTATAATTACTGTATTCTCAGTTTTATTTTCTGATGGGACAAAAATGGTTATGACAACATTATTTTGAATTGGAATATTATATTAATGTAAATTGAAATATAGAAAATAAGCATTTGAAAGATGTTAAGCAAGACTTGGGTGCCACTAACTAATAACTGTCATGGGATCCAACTGTTTGGCTATTTTATCCTTTAAAATACATACACACCTAATGCCATAGTCATAAGAATCTTAAGCATTCATTTAGAACTACCTTCTTTATAAACTTGAACTTGATTTCACTAAATAAATTCTACTGCCTAATACTGAAAATGATGAATACTTCCAATCTATACATTTCAGCTACCCTTATAGCAAACAAATTAGGTAGAAATCATCATTTTAAACTTTTTAGATCAGTACGCTGCAGGTTATAATCAAAGAGGAACACTGAAAAGGCATTTGAAAAGTAAAAGCCAGCGCGACGTTGTTCATTTGCTGCCCCCTCCTGGGGAAAGCCAAAGCAAACAGTAAAAGCATCACAAGACAGCCAAGAAATTGTTCCCCGCGTATCATTACCTATGCTTCTCTGATAACTCATCCTTGTGACAGCAGATCTTTTTCCGTTTAAAGGCTTTTTTTAAAAAAAGTTTTAATTTTAAAGATCAATAGACTTTAAAATATATTTCCCAAATGAGTCTGTTAATCTAAGCATAATTGGAGAAATTTCTGGAGGAAAGAAACTGAGGCTTCTTACTTTGGCATTCTGAAGTCCTGTACAGCAGCACAGACTCTGCACTCAGAGTCAACACAACAACATTCTCTTCATGCTGTTCTGCCATCAGCTATTAGCCTAAGCTGTAGGACACAACACTGAACTGGCTACAATTTGCAGCAGATTCTGTTCTGCCACAGGGTTAGGACCTTTAGTGGGAAGAAATAAAAGCCACAGGATGGTATTATGGCTAACTGCTACTTTCATTAGTTTGCCCTTTGAAGAGGCTAGAAAAAAGAAACAATGTTAACATGAGGTTTGCTTTGCTATACAGACAGCACAGCAAAACTCAAGTCAGAACTAGGTATGAAAAGTTGAAGTAAGTTTTTAATCTTTGCAGTAATTTACAAGCATCATTCCAGGGAGAGCTCTCAGAGAACTAGTCCATAAACGCTTCTGAAACACAGAGGTAACACATTCATCAGATAATGACACATTTCATATATAACCTCAGACTAAATTTGGATCGCCACACTTCACTGATTTTAAAATAACTGTTGCAATGATAAAAAGATGTAAAATGCTTAATCTTGTTCTTCAATTTCTTTAAAACTGAGACAAGTTATTTCAAAATACCTCACTGTGAACATGGAAGCAACTTGTCTACCTGCTTTGTGAATCTGTAATGACTGAACTGTGCTTTGACTATGACAAGGCTTGTTAACTGACAATTCAATACAAAACAAAAACCAGCTGCCTACGTGCACCATCAGCATGTCGGTCTACTCCCTACTTTACTTGCCAAGCTGCTAGTTCACTTATCAGTGATCAGGCCTTTGACTATCCTTTTTTTTTCTTTATTACAGCAATTTCAGCAAGCTACTAAAACATGTATTTACTTCCTTCCACATGAGCAATTACAACTACAAACCAGGAAATCTAGATTCAATATAGACAATTACTTCATTCTTAGAAAACAGCAGGGTAAAGAAGATACTTGGGGAAAAAAACTCTGACAATTTGAATTAATTAATTATACACAACTGTAAAAGTCAGAAAGCGATTACTTAAACTGAAGGTGTCTATTGTGAAAATGTTTTCTCATAATGTAACACATATATGCATGGCCATAAATAACAACTAAGAAAGAAAATGCCCAAAACCAAACTCAGATACTTGGAAGAAACCGAGAAAAACAGAATGCACACCAACTTCTCTACCTAAATACTAAAAAAGCTATCATTAGAATATTGTATGATGTCCAGTTGTGAATGGGTGGCTACCAGAGATTTCTATCTTCTTTCTCAAAGGAAAATAAACCCACTTTTCTGAATAACAGGAAAGCATCAAATGTCATCTCAAGTTTTCTTTGGAAGAGAGGATGCAACTGAGGTCAGACAAAGTCTTAGTGTTAACTCTTACATCTACAGGTAAGTAGAATTCTGCATTAACTGGTAAGATTGGTGCTTCAATAAATACACCTCTTACAAATGCAGCCACGAGTGCAAAGGAAGCTGTACCCTGTCACAGTTCTTTCATTTAGTCTACATACAGAATTTCAAGAAGCCTCACAGCGCACCTCTTGGCTCCTCAAAGAGCACATCTCGGTGGCTCTCCTTTATCACTGCTTGTAACAAAACTTAAGAGAAAGCCTTTAGAAGCACCTTTTGATCAGCTTACTTTATTCAAAAGACTGGAACTTTCACAAACCAAGAAGAAGACACTTCTTCGAATAGGGAAGCTCATTTTTGTTCAGGCTATCTGTGGGCAGCTTTCTAGTAGAAAATAAGTAATAAATATACATGTGCCACATTATCAATTGTTCTGCAATGAACAGCTACAGAGGTACTTGGAGTATAACAAGCAAAATGGCAACTTTTGCCATGTATAGGTCATACCCTACTGTAGGCAATGCATGTACATTAACCAAAATCCTTCTAGTTGTTTTTGTGTTGAAGCACACAGAATTATCTTCAGCCTTCTTTCCTCTCTTTCATTTTTTTGTTGAGGTTTTCTGATGGATTTATTTGTGTTGACCACTCATCTGACATCTGGTTTTGAATACCTGATCCCAAAAGGAAGACAGAAAGGCTGTAGAAGTTTAGCAATTTTCCATATGCTCTTTCAAGTCTTCTCTTGATGGCCAATTAAGAAAGTAAATTAATTCAACAAGAAATCCAAAATACTGTATTGCCCAGTATTTTACATTACCATCAGTGACTGAAAGACTTCAGAATTCGAGATAAGATACTTTCAGGTGAAAGACAAAGTTGTAAAGGGGCTTTCAAAATAGCGTAACCCGTATAATTCAGTCCACTAACAGAGGAAAAAAAGCCTTGTTGATCATCCTGTGTTATGTGAAACACACACCAAGGGCAAAACAACAGCTTCTCAAAAGAGCTAGACAAGCCATTTATTTGGGTTGGAGTTTGTTTTGGTTGGTTTTGGTTGTGTGGTTTAGTTTTGGTTTTTATAACTACAGTGCAGAATTAGATACAAATTATTACATACAGGTAATGCTGAAGAAAGAACTACTCTATTTTACTTTTGGACATGAAAATACAATGAACAGGTATATCACATACTGCAATGTTTAGCTGCCATTCACACACACCCTAGAACAGATTATCATTCTTAGATGCACACTTTTGTCATAAAATTGCCGCAGTGCTGCCCAGCACAAAGAAAAACAAAATTAAATAAGCACAGATTATAATGATAAAAATGGCAGCATTTGGAAAATCGCTCCTGTGTTTGACACACTTGCTGCCACAATGAATATCCCTGTTTCTTAAAAGTGACAAAGTAGGAAGGAGAAATACGATTTTCAGTTGCCCTGAACCCACTGGTTTCATCAGATTACAATGATTTTATCATACAAAAGCTTTATCTAACAATCCACATTTTAAATAGTTGTCTTTTCTAAGTTTCCTGAGCTTCCTATGACCATTGTACATGTAGATGAAGATCAAGCAACATATTTGCATAATATAGCTATTACGTTGCAAGGAATTGATTAATTTTTAATATTTGGATATTCCTGACCTAATAAGTTTCCTTTCTCATTCTGTTGTAAAAATAGCATAAGATTCTAATTACATTGTTAAGACTAATACCAAGAAATGATAATCATTTCCAATGTAAAACATAAGCTTTGAAAAACCCACAGCGCTGCATACACATTTAAATATATAGCACGCTTGGCAAGATTAGGAAAAATTAAGTAAGCCCATTAGATGACTGAGAAGATAGCTAGCATTTGTGTCAGAGTAAGTAGAATACTTCTATATCTATTGAAAATATCATTTGCACGGAATCACTTAACTTGACTCAATCTTTTTGGTCCTGACAGAGTTTGGATATTATTGCTTTTTTATGAGGTAATTATTTCAGCAACAAAGCACCAAGAACCCTCTTTTCCACCCCACACTCCCTAAAACTGATGTTAATTGTTATATAAATGAATCGATCAGTTGCACCAACTCTGCAGATAACTTGTAAAATCCATCAACTTAAGCAGTATGTATCAAATGCTCCCCACAAGAACTTGTTAATGTAAGACGTTTCAGCACACTGTCATTTACAAGAAGAAAAAAAATAAAGATTTTTTCTTTACCCAGAGTCACCACGACTGATTTATTAAATTGCCGATTCTTTTTAATATGATAGCACAGTGTCAAGATTACAAATGCTGCTGGCTTATGGAGCCTCCAGTGACTGGGGGAAAAGGGAGGATAACTGCCAATTTTAAGACCATTTACAGATTAAAAAAGAAAAAAACAAACCTAAGCGTCTTGCAGCTTTTTGAGATGGTACATTCAAGATAGCATTGTGAATAAACAAATACTTACCTAACCCTCTATACAGTGTACACCAGCTTCTACAGCATTGTTCAATGGTCAGTAAGTCACCACCAACACAATGTATGTCAGGATGGTACAATGGAGCTGAAGCCAGTCGGTCTAGATGTCCCAGGACCTAAAGAAGAAATAGGTGAACTTACAAATACCAATGCATTGTATGGTCTCACAGCCTAGCCACTAAATGCATACAGCACATACTGCTGTATAATTATGTCATTTTCAGCAATTTATTTTAGTATGTTAATGTAGATCCCCAATATACTTCTCACAACCACAAAATAAATCCTGTATTAAGAAACAAAACAAAATTCCAGCTCATTAAGGTTCCTAAGGCAAGACATAAAAACTAGTAATTGCCAAAATTAAAGTTGCCTTGGTAACATTTATTCCATTGTTTTTTGTGTATATACTCTATGCTCACTTAACAATAAACCAAGGCTAATGAAGCACTACCCATTCTACACACTGTATTTTAGAAGGATCATGTGGGGGAAAGAATATGCATATACAGTCAAGTCAAGCAACTGAAGATTTTGCAAGTGTATATGCCCACGCAGATGACAAGTGACTTTGCATCCTTTATTGGGAGTTATCTTGAATTTCTGTGGGTGTTTGGTTTGTTGGGTTTTCTCTTTGTTTGGTTGGGGGTTTAGGCTTCATTTCTTTGAAACAAAGTACATAAGAAGTTAAAATATGCTTTCCAGATTTCATAATGGGGAATTATATTTGGGTAACTGGCATTGCTGAAACCTTTGCAGAAACCTCTGATGCTTGAATTAATTCCCATCTGAATAATGACAGTAATAGCACATAGAAGTTATTGTGTACCCTATTATTTTAATTCTGGTTCACGTGCCTGAGGCTCTAGATCCTTTCTGTCCACTTCAGGCCACACTTTTCCCCAAGTTATTTTAATTCTCTGAGACTTCTCACTATTTTCTTCACTGCTGATTATGGCCTGTCCACTAGCATTTTTCTTACCATGCCAAATTCTGCTCGAGTTCATTTCCTCATCATGTCCTCCAGCAACTTCTCACAAGTTTTCCAGCCACAATAACCTTTAGTATCCAATATCCAACTTTAAAAAAAATAAAAGTCAAGAACTTTTGCAGCCAGGTACCAAAGAAAACTGGCAAGTTTTCTTAATTCCTGTCCCTGCCTCCCTTAAAATCATAGAATCAGCTGGCTGGAAAAGACCTTTAAGATCATTAAGTCCAACCATTACCCCAGGACTGCCAAGACCACGTTACTAAGGGCCTCATCTACACGGTTTTTGAGGGAGCAGGGACAGTGATTCCACCACTACTCTGGGCAGCCTGTTCCAATACTTGATTACTCTCGCTGTAAAGAAATTTTTCCTAATACCCAATCTGAACCTTCCCTAGTGCAGCTTGAGGCCCCTATCTTTTGTCCTATCACTTGTTACTTGGGAGAAGGGACCAATACTCACCTCACTACAACCTCCTCTGAGGTAGTTGTAGACAGTGATAAGGTCCCTGCTGAGCCTTCTCTTCTCCAGACTAAACAACCCCAGTTCCCCCAGATGCTCCTAATAAGACTTGCTCTCCAGACCCTTCACGAGTTCCGTTGCCCTTCTCTGGACCCGCTCCAGCACCTCAATGTCTTTCTTGTAGTGAGGGCACAGAACGGAACACAGGATTTGAGATGTGGCCTCACCAGTACCCAGTACAGGGGGATAACCACTGCTGTGGCCCTGCTGGCCACACTGGTGCTGATACAGGCCAGGATGCTGTGGCCTTCCTGGCTGCTGGGGCACAAGCTGCTCATGTTCAGCTGTCAGTCAGCACCCCCAGGTTCTTCTCCACAGAGCAGCTTTCCAGCCACTCTTCTCCAAGCCTGTAGCACTGCATGGTGCTGTTCTGGCCCAAGCCTGTGGCACTGCATGGGGTTGCTCTGGCCCAAATCTTGCGATTTGTAATTTGTCACAATTAGCTTCCTGCAGTAAGTTATCTTCACTGCTCATTGCATTTTTTGGAGGCTGTGAAAAGGCCAAATCTCCACAGACTTTTACATGAGGAGTGTGCCTTTTATCTATTCTAAGAGAAGACACCATACAAAAAATGCCTAGGTCTTTCCTGCAAGCCATGGACTATTATGCCTTCTTAAATAAAAGGTATCCATGGTCTTACCAGCTCTAATTCAAAACATTAGGAACAGACAGTTTTCCCCCATATGCATTCTAGAAAACTGGTTGAATCATTTTGCTTGATCTGTTCTTAAACAAGCATCAGTTGGAGGCAAAGAAACATGAGAAATTGCAGTTTAAACAAAAACAGAAAAGCAAGACAGAAGAGCAAGTGAAAACTGCATATTTAAACAAACAATATTAGTAACAAAGAGAGCATCTAGGTTAGTGAAAAAAAAAGGCAGTATGGTTTTATAACACTAAATATGAAGTAAGCTGTTAAAACATAGAGGAAGCATGAGAAATGCAGGCATACGTCACAAATAAATTTAATTTCCATTTTCAGAAGAAGGGGTCTCCTTTAACAAGTCTTGGGGAAAGCATATATCAGCATGAAGTAGAACTGCTGCTAGAGACGCATAGCCTCTACCACTATTAAAAGCTAAGTTACAAAAAATCAAATTTGATGGTATAAAAATGCACAGCTCCCCTCCTTTGTTCACTCTGCAAGATACAAAGCTGGATAGGGTCCTTTGAAAGTTGCTTCAGGATTGTAAAAGTATTTAAATTAGCCTAAGTATTGCTTATGTGATGGCACTAAAGTAAATATATTGATAGGCTGCTACATACTTCCCTGTGATATTCAGCCTGCTTCAGTTAATGAGATTAACTGAAGACAGCAGATAGAAATCAGAGATGCAGAGACAAGTCCCTCCACATAGCTCTGCTCTAACCACAAGTCTAGCACTTTGTAGGTCAAGGTCACAGGAATTGGGACTGCTAACAGCATGAACTGCAACATGTATTTTTGACATTTTTAAATGTCCACAAAGGAATCAGAAAGAAACCAAACTCTTGGTCAAAAAAAGATCTAAGTTGTAGACTGAACCTGGCTTGCCATCATTCAGAGTATCACACTTTCAGTGTTATTCCAGTAACACTGACATAAAGCTAAAGTCAGAAAAGTTTCAGACAAGAAACATCCTTCAGTTTAATGTTTTATGCAGTACAGTATTCCTCCCTCCTCCTTCCAAGTGAAGGGCCCAGTAGTTTAATAACAAAAACCCAATAGATCTGTGAGGTAACAGAGTCTTCCTTGTAAGAAGCAAGAATCTCTGCTATAGCAGATAAAAATAAAGCTGTCATTGAGTAAAATGGAGCAAGACTGGTGAAGGAAAATAAACTTGCTGCTACTAACTTAACAAAGAAGAATTTCTTCTTAAACTACCAGGCAACTTGTTAGCCAACCAAGCAATTATCAGTTGCCAAAGTAAGTCCATCAGAAACTCAAACATAAAAAGGATCCAAGCCCCAAGCATGCTGTCATGCATCTGGTTTCCTGCACTAAGTGTACTTGCTGTCTTCTCTCCTCTACCTAGTTAATAGCTGTTGAGCTGCCAGCTCAATGCAGCTGCTACATCTCACTGCTACCATTAGCCTTTGAAGACAGGGATTCTTGTTTAGTGCAAACTGTAACAAGCAAACTGTAAGTCCCGTATCCTCTTCCCCCCCTTCAAAACACAGTTTTACTTTAGCTTAATAAATTTTAAAGCCTTCTTCCACCAATTAAATCTACCAGTACATAGACTTGCATTACCCAAATATTTAGCACTGGGAAATTCACCTTCACTTGATAAAAGCAGACAGAAGCAAAATGTTTAATCAGAAGTCCTGCATATGCTTTTAGCATTTACAAAGCATTTGTTACACTTCATAAACTAAGCAGTCAACCCTCTCACAAAAAAAAAACCAAAAAAAAAAAAAACCAAAACCCCACCAAACCAAAATGCCAACACCTGTTGAAGGAGAAAGGGGAATTAAAAAAAAACAAAACAAAACAAAAAAAAAACCAAAACAACCCAAAACAACACAACAGCCAAAAATACACCTCTTTGGAAAAAACATCTCATCTCTCATATTCAGTGCATGGATACGGTTTGAAATTGTAACCATGGCTGTACAGATACCTGTAGACTTTGATTCATTCCTTAGCTGTATAAAAAGTCACAGAGTTTAATATAATGGGTTAAAATCAAATTAAATCCATTAAGACTGTGAAAAACTAGGGACTATGGTATTGTTTATTAAGATTTATGCTAAGCCTGATGTAAAGATTAGACAACAAAAGAAAAGATAACCGTGGTCGCTTGTGCAGACTAAACCAGACACCGCTTGCGCAAGTTTTGAGGAAATATCTGCAAGTTTTGAGGAAATATCTGCAAGATGTTCTAAAAAAACTGGCAGACATATGGGTGGGGGCAACTATTGCTTTGCTTAAGTGCTTTACTTGCATAAGTTGACACCAAAATTACTTACAAACCGCAGGACGCTTACTAAGGGCTTTTGCAAAACAATTCTAAAAATTATTGCACAGCAAGTCGAAGACCATATATGGAAAAGGATATCTAAAGGTAACCGAGGAGGACTTCAAGCCTTCAGCCTCAAGGACCACCAGGAGGCAGAAAAAAGAACCCCTAACAACAACTGGGGCATGCGCAGAGTACTCCGTTGAAGATACGAATGCGGAACTGGAGGACTGATAAAAAGGGACTGTTAGAACTGTTCGGTGCGGCAGTTGGTGGAACATAGACTCCCCTGTCGCCCAGCGCTGTCTTTGCTCATATTCTACTTGCTATAATTAATAAAATTTCAATTGGATTATGATCCGTTGTGGTCCTAATTTATTACAAAGACCAAGACAATTCCACATTTTAAACAATTACTAAACATTCATACTTAACTCCTGTGTAGTTTTAAAGTGTTTTGTGCTTATTTAAGTAATATGAGGCTGCATTTGGCTGAAATACACAGTATTTCAGAAAAAAAGAGCAACTATTAATTGAAGAGGCAGTTTGACCAAAACCAAGGTTAGCTCAGCTCTAAGGATGATCCCCCAGTGTCAAAACAGCACAAAAAAAAGGATAGTGAGCAGTTCTCAAAGACTTCAAACCAGAATTTAAAATGAGCTCACAAAATACATACTTGCAGTAGAATTATTTTGGTATGAATTATAGAACCTATGAAGAATATTGAAAGGACAACTGGGAAACATCAAAATACCCAAGCTTTAAAGGATTTACTGGTGAGATGAGATACGCTTCAGTTGCACATTTTCTTCTAAGTACATATCCTAAATTAGACAGTAAATCTGTCTAAATTTGGTCTGGAGAAAGTACTGGCTGCAGGTTTTGCAGGTTTTGCATAAAGGATTTCTGTTAAATGGAAATCAAGATCACTATCTCTTTCCTGTAAAGGTTTTAAAATAAAATAACTTTATAGCAACTTCTGGACTGTTTAAGGTTTAAGATTCAAAGGCCAAAAATAATGACAGGCAGCATGATCAGTCTTTCAGACCTTTTGCCTCTTTATCCCTGATGCAGATGGTAAATAGTCACTATGCAGTCTACAGAAATATCAACAACTGCTTTAATTTATACAAGTAAACAACAGATAACATTGCATAACTGCATACAAGAAGCTCTCAGCATGACAGATCAGTATCTTTGTCCTACATAAGAAATTAAGACGAAACTTCAATGTACTCCAAAGTATTTGAGCAATTTGCACTTTTCCTCACTGAGCAGGTCAGGTTTTCATGTAGGTTCAAAGTTATAAAGCACATTGTTGCAAATAATGTTAGCAATTACAGCTAAAACTTGAAACTAAATTAAACACAAGCTTGGTGCTAAGGAATATGCAGTTAAAACTTATTTCCAAAACTATTCCCATAGCAAGCAGGAAGGCTCCCATACCCATTGGGTCAGCTTCAAAAGTATAATAAATTGGCAGAGAACAGTTCTTTGTAATGCTATGGTAAAACACCCTTTAAAGGAATAAAACACCTGAAAAATACTAGCAAGCTGAAGACTACTCAATTTCTTTCATGTTTCTTCTCCACCTCAGAAATGCACAGAAATTAACACAATGTTAAACAGACATTTAGAAGGGCTTCCTTTGTTCACATTTATTGCAAAAATGCAAATATTAAAACCAAATATAAAACATTCACAATTCCATCATACTACCAATAATTTAAAAAGCTATTAAGTATTGAACCTACTATACTTTTCAATAGGAAACTAAAATTAAGCAACCTTTCTGAATGTGTTAACCTAACAGCGACCAGTAAATTATAATCTTCAAAAATTCACAGTACCCAGACATAATGAAAATTATCAAAAGAGGATCCCAGAAAACCTCATCCCAGACTTTCTCACTACAGTTATAAGGGGAAATAGATTCTTGATCTCCCTCACACCCCCTCCCCCTCAAAAAAAAGGAAACAAATTATTAATTCCAGACACGAGTTATAATTTGCCAATACAAAATGCTTTCCCTTTCACTTAAGAAAACATCGTTTGTATAAGCATTCATAAACCTTTTTCACTGTTGTGGTCATCTCTAGTTTGAAACTGTGTGAATTTCAGCTGTCTTTTTATGTGCTCTGCTTCCCAACCTCTTAGAAAAAAAGTTAAGACTGGACTACAGGCTTGTTGCCAGCTTACAGTCGTATGCAATGAAGCGGAGACACTGTATGTCGTTGTTCTAAAACTGACCCTTTCTTTGGTTCCTTTCCCTGCAGAATTTCTGCAATAACCTATGAAAATTTTATTTCCTGCCCTTTTGAACAGTAAAAGCTCAGAACCCCACCTATCCCAAAGATTTTAAAATTAGACTGCACAGTACAATCTAATCTAAACCCTTCAAAACCTACACTGCAACACAGATGCAATGCCCAGCCTGGCTACAATCACAGGAAGCCCTGTAATTCCACATTCCTAACACTCCTAACATTGCCTGTTTTCTTATCTGAGCTCTGTCACAAACTCCAGAGTGCTCCTGTGAGCCACCATCTTATTTCACATAAATCACCTGGCTTTGCACCGGCTTTACTGAGCAATCAGAACCGAAGAAATAGCTCAAGCCCAGAAAACAAGACTGGTCTGTATGAGCAGTAGCAACCATGGAAACCTTACCAAAATCAATCAGTCACTGCAATCACCTAAAACACTGTCTGGTTCAACAGAAAAATGCCCAGGCTACCTTTGTACACACACCTTTCAAGATTTTAACCAGTCTTAAAGGTAAGCACTAAATGCATGTCTTTACCAAAGACAAAACAGTTGCAATCAGTATGAGAAACATTTTAATGGTATTTCCTCCTTGCTTAAATAAAGTATAATTGGTTCAAACCCAATATTTGTAGTCAATGCAAAGGAGAACAGCACTGGAATTATGTCCTTTTGTAATCTGAGAGACACAGATTGTGTTACTTTGCCAAGGACCCTCATTTATAAATGGAGGCAATATTTAGCTATTAGCAGTGTCACAAAACTTAAGAGATAAAAAACATTAACCGTGATAGAAGTACCTTCACAGTAATGTTACAGAGCCATTAAAAAGCTAATAATATTGAAATTATTAGAATATGATGGTCAACTACTCCTAGAAATAGTCTGAATCCTCAATATAAAATGAGACAGGATTTTGCAGAATTAACATCACCAAAAAATGAACAACATTTATTAGAATTTTTGCCATTTTCATATTTTCTTTGTTTAAACCAGTATAAAGATACTTAACTGATAGCATTTACAGCTCATGCTGAAACTCTCTAGTAAATTTGGCACTGAGCAAATAAAGTTAAGTGCACAGACACATGTGTAGCTGAGGCAACTGTATGAGAATAAAATTTGACTTACTGGTAAAATCACTGTACAGACATTTAAACACATCCTGATAAAGGCAAACTACATAAGGCTTTCTTACTTGCTCAGTTTCAAAAGATGATGAACATATTGTGCGCCTGAAGAGATGAGGCACTCTGTGACATAAGAACACTTCCACTGATGAGGCACTCAGGTTTCTTATATCCCTTTGGTGATTTTAAATGATTCTCCATTAAGCCCCCCTCAGCCATGCAACAATAAATACACTTAAAGCCACAATCGGCATCATGAACATCTTCATGGACTTTCTGAGCATCTTTTGACTATGTTGCACACTGTAGAAACGCTGCCTTCTTTCAGAACCCAACTTTAAAGCTCAAACATCTTTCACAGAATGAGCTACCCCTTTACCGCCACATCCAGCTTTCTTCTGATTTTTGACATTTTTTACACCTTGCTTCAGCTTTAGAGGTTTTTATCTCCCCAGCTAAGGTCCAAGTTGTAACACTGGAAACACAACAGAGGCCAAGATGCACAGACTGGGCATTTGAAATAGCAGTTGGCAGTGCAGAAGAGGGCTCCTCAAGGTGCAAATAAAGCGCTGTTGCTCCAAACAAGGTGTTCACAAAAGTGAGAAGCATAAGAGTTACTGCTCTGACCACTTGGGCTCATGTCGCAACAGTGAGGACTCATTTTGAAGCATCTGACACACAGGCAATAAGAGCCATTTCTTGCAAAATTTTCTTCATTTTTCTTATTTTCTCGGTTAGCTTAATCTCCCATGCTATATGATTCATTTTCATTTTGGTCAATTTTAGGACAGCTTAGAATTTGATGCTGTATCAGTTTCACACGTATAAGCCAGGTATGTCCTGATTGTACTTTTGATGCTGCTTGTGAACTGGCAGAGCTTATACCTATATACCTCCACCAGAAACATCTTCACCAGGCTGGCAATCTGGGCTTCAAAACCCTAAAGCACAGTAGCATACAACTGGGATGGTAAGATTTCCTCAGAGCGATGCAGGTTCATTGACAGAATATGTCAATATTTGTATTTAAATTATACTCCATAGTTAGTGGTAGATAAATCTACAAATAACAATAAACAAAGCAGTTAAAATCTACTTCATAAATTATTAAGAACTCTAAGTCTCTATAAAATCTAGATTCAGATTCCAGTCCAAGCGGTACGTGTAGATTTTAAGACTACCTGAAAGAAGTGAGGGGTTTGATCATTAGCAAAACGATGCCACAAGTGATTACCCAAATCATCTGTCGAATTTAAAAACGAACTACAGGTTAACAGTACCACGGCATTTGCATGTTCAGTTTATAACACTTGCTGTCAACAGGCGGGCTGTGTTAACCTCAAAGCGGAATACACTAGGGAGAGACCAGCGCCGCTGACACCCGGAGGCCTCCAACCCATCCACCACGCCCCATCGCACCCCCAGGTACCACCCAGCACCCCGCCCGCCCTTCCCGCGCAACCCGGTACAGTCAGACGGAATCTGAGAGAACAAACCAAGCGGAACAACCTCCTCACAAGGCGCGCCAGCCGCCTCTGGAGAGCCCGCCCTGAAGACCACTCCTGGGCTGCAGCCCCTTCCATCGCCAGACCCTCTCCGAACTTAAGCGGCACCCCTCTCCCAGCGAAGCTCCCTGAGGAGACACCACCACAGACGCAGGTGTCGCAGCCAAACACCCGCCACAACTCTCCCCACCCCCGCCACCATCACCCCCACCTCCAGGCTGCTCCCGCCGCGCGCAGAGCACCGCCCCGGGGGCGGAGCTTCCGGCCCGCTCGCTACGCAGAGCGCGGGGTTCACTTCCGGCGGCCGGCTGTACCACCACCTCACCCCGCACGCCTCCACCCACCGCGGTGCCTCTGTGCGCGTGCGCCGCGGCCCCGCGTCTCCCCAGCGGCAGCGAAGGAGTTTGGAAGTTCAAAATGGCCGCCGCGGCGGAGCCCGAGCAGCGACCGCCCGAGTAAGAGATCGGCTGGGAGTCTCCTTGCCGTGGCGCGTTAGGGAGGCGGAAGGAGAAGTGCAGGCGAGGGGAGTGTGGGGAGGAGGACGAGGGGCGGCTCAGGTGGAGGTGGTGAAGGCAGGAGGAGGGATATGGGGCAGTGGCTGCTCCGGGGAAGAGGGGGTGCTCTGGGGGCCGCTCGCCCCGTGGCTGGCGGCCCGGGACGCAGGAGCCGCCTTCCGCCGGCTGGGGCCCGGGGTGTGTTGGAGGGAGGACCGGGAAGCGCTTCAGGGGCCGGGCGCGCGCGAGCTGGCCCGCTGGGGGCATGGGGGAGGGGAAGCGGAGCCAGGACCTGCGGGCGCGTGTCCTCCGCCCTGCGTGCGCCTTCCCGCCTCAGTGAGGGGGGGGGGGGGGGAGAGCTGAGGGGCTGCGGCGCTACTCGCTTCGGTCCCCGCTCCGCCCGCCCCTCCTCTCCCTGGGAAAGCGGGGCGGGCGAGCCCTTCCTCCGCGTGGATGGGAGGCCGCAGCCCGCGCGGGCCGGCGGGTGCCCGCTGGCGCTCAGGGTTCGGGCATCCCCGAGGCGAAGCTGGGCTGCCGCTCCCCGGAGTTCCCCTTCGCCCCACGGCTCGTTATCTGAGCGAGGCCTCCCGCCGGAGGAGCGGGATGGGAATCCGGGACAGCGGGTGCTGCGGCCGGGGTTGCCCTTCCGCCCGCCGCCGAGCCGCTGCCCGCCCCTCGGTGAGCCCACTTCCCCCGGGTCCCGGGCGCTCTCGCGTTATGAACAGTGCCTGTGGTGGTGGAAGCAAAAACCGATTTGTTGCCGCCGGCCCCTCCTTCCAGCCCTCGAAATGACTGGCAACTCCCGGCTCCCGTTGGGAAGCGAAAATCGAGTAGCCGCCTCCCCTTCGTACCGGGGCTGCGTTTGCCTGGCAGCCCGGTTAGCGCCGTGAGGTTTAGATTTGTCGGCACTCACAAGCTCACTAACACTTTCTCCTCTGGAACTTTTGCCCGGAGTTGACAAGCTAGTGCTGACTTTATTGCTTCTCTTCACTATACAAATATTTTAGCCATGTAACCTGCTGGTTTTTTTTTCTGCTTTGAAAAGTTGCGATTTGAGCTTTTTGTTTGTTAATCGTGGGTGTGAAACAGGTGAGGAAAAGCAGTAGAAGTACATGTGGACCATATAAAACACGTGAGCACACAACGAACAAAGTTTAGTGTTACATGGGGAAACGTAACTGAGAGTAAGAAAGTACTAACTGATGATGTCTGGATGTAGGAAAAGATGGGTGAAATCTCTTTGTCAGTCTTCCTGAACTTCCTATCATTCTATTTAAATTTAAAAATAAAAGAAAGTGGGACAGTTTATGGCATAATTCCTCTCTGTTTAATGCTGTTAGCACCTAAACATGTTAATGGCCTCATCACCCTCTGAAATCTTTAAAAGGATTCTCCTTCATGTCATTATGCCTGTTAAGCACTGAAATGAAACAAAAATTTATCCATGTTCTGATGGAATTACTCAAAATCATTCATGGGCTATCTCATGCGTGTTAATGAAGTTAGCAATTTTATAGGTGAGGAATAAATGCAAAAAAAAGATGGCAGCTGTCTGTAGTGGTCGTGGTGGTGCATCTCTCCTGGTGTCTCCACTGCCAGCTTGCTTTTACAGAATACAAGACAGGATTATTACATAGCATTAAAATACATACAATAATAAAACAACTTCCTTCAGCGACACTTTCTGCTATTAAAATAAGGAAGACTTACCAGAAGTGACTTGAACAGATGTGATTTTTGTTGTTCTGTAATGTTCTCATAATGCTGAAGTACCATCAGTTTGGTACTCTGGGACTTATACATCATCCTGTATCTAACAAAAAAAATCTTGAAAGATGTATAGTTTCCTTAAAGTTTGCCTTGTGGTGTTTTTCTGCCCTTTAGCAAACTTATGTCACTGACATACTTGCTCTGGATTGCAAATCCAGGTTGAAAAAGTTGTGCATTTAATACTTGTTCTTTATTTTTCCTGTATTTTGTACCAAATGTAACATAGAGCAAACTCATTTTAAGGCAATTTGTCTGCTTTCTGGTATTCTGTTGTCATAATGGTGTGGAGTGTCAGGAGGAAGCAATTAAGAAAAACACTTTTTTTCCTAAATGTTATGAGTAAGCAGAAGTAGCGTTAAAGATGTAAAAAGGTATACAGCCTTCTGACTTAAGTCTGTAAATATTGCGTATTTATAGCTCAAGCTGCCTGTTCCTCTTGGAAGTTGCTCATTTCAGAGCATTAAAGTGTCAATGGTTTTAGCAAATAATTTTAGTGTATGTTGCAGAAGTCTGGATTATTTACTAGTACTAGAATCTGCATTAACTCTAGCAGGAGAGAATCTGTAGTAGTGCACTGTTTGACTATCCTAGCCTTAGTTAGGAAGACATTAATTGCATTTATAATGAAGTGCCATTCTTTAGGCCTGGCTTAGAATATCTCTGATACATGTATCGGATCATTGATTGTATTCTTTATAAACAACTGTTGTATGAAACTAGTAGAGTTTGGAAGATACTTCTACATTTCTGTGTACATCCCCGCACCGCTCCTAACCATCATGTTAGGGGATTTCTTTTCAAGGAATGAGGCTTTGGATACTGAAAGGGCTATATTTAAGTTATTAAAGTGTTAGCTAGTAAATTTAAAATCTGTAGTTTAAACGGGGTGAGTTTATAGAAAAGTGAACTCAGGCACCTGTAATCAGTCACAGATTTCAAAAGGCGAAAGTCTTGTCTTGCCACAAATAGTAACTTCATTGATATTCTGAAGGAGATCAGTAGGTATTTGCTAAACAGTATAAAAAAAAACTGACTGGTAAGCCAGTTTCGGCATCTAAGGATATTAGAAATGAATGCATAAGATCAGGGCTCAATTTGATAATTTTTTAAAGTTATTAAGTACACCCACTACTTAATTTGCTTGTTGCTGGGACTAGCAAACTGATTTGTTCATTTTAGAAAAAACGCTGTATGTTATTGTTACTTTAATAACCTGCTGTAAACCTGTGTTCAGCCTTTTTGGCCAATGCCATTTTACAGGTCTAAAGCTTATAGATTTGGGGGGGGGGGGGGGGGGAAGCTGATAGTCTTCAGTATACTATCATAAGGCTTTTTCTGAATTTA